AGACATGAACGGCAATAATTGCTTCAGGCTAAAATATAAATTCTCTATCCATAATATTTCTTTCTTCAGTAAAAAAAGTCGTCAAGTCTGAATCAGGAGAGAAATATGCACTGATCAAGGACCGTTTACAAGTGAAAACAGTTCTAAACAAATATGTCTGTGATTGAGAGGACAAAAGTGGATGGACTTTTTTTATGGATTGTAGACTTACAAACAAACAGCTTTTCGCTCCACAAGATGTTAGTTGCTGGCCTAGACCCACGTGGATTACTTGTGGATTATTGTGATGTTTTTATCAGCTGTTTGGTCTCTCATTCTGACGGCACCCATTCACTGCAGAGGATCCACTGGTGAGCAAGTGATGTAATGCCAAATTTTTCCAAATCTGTTCCAATGAAGAAACAAACTCATCTACATCTTCGATGGCCTGAAGGTGAAGGCCTGTGAGTTTGAAAGAACTGAAATATATAGTATGCAAGTATGTGAATGCAACCACTTTTATCTATGCAAGCTCAGCTGTGACATTAGACATTAGAGCACATTTGTGCTTTGGAGATGGTGCATTGCGAGGTTGTTGAGGAAAACAATGGGGTTTGTGAAAGTGAAACTGTTATATGACCACAAGTTGTGCAAATTTTATGTTGTTGCAACAAACTCGGATGTTAACACCCTTATGCGTAGTTAAGTTACAAAATGCTTCAGATCAACTGCTCTCATGCTCAAGCAAGTGTCTTGAAAGGTAGTTGAAGTTACCATAAAATGAGTATAGACTTTTTGATCAGATCCCATCGCCTATTTCTGAGGGCGGGGCTTCATAAAAGCAGGAAATTATCAGAGCGTTTCTCAGAGAAGGGACAGAGCGGAGTAAAGGTAAATTATGTGAAAAATAATGCGTTTTTTTTTTTTTTTAAACGAAGCATTAACACGTTAGACTGCACCCCATAAACGCAATCAAGCCTAGAAAAAAAACAGTGAACCACCCCTTTAACAGATGTAACTCAGTAATCAAAGTTGAAATATAGAGTTGTGTTTGCTGATATCTTGCTGATATGTTTTAAATATTTGAAGCCACAAACTTGAGCAAATCCAGTAAATAATAGCTCATTGTATATACACATTGTACCTTTTAAACTCATAAGAAAACCTGTGTGCAAACCAGTCAGATTGGAATTGGCTATTTCATTTTATGGTTCCTATTTTGAAGTGCAGAATGCTTCAGTGAATGGATTGTGGTTGGCCTGTGGTGTTTTAAGCAACACAAGAACAAATGTTAAGCATGTTTACAACAGGACCACCAGGCGTTCACATCTGCATATACGAAGATGATTCCATAACCAATTGGCCAACAAAACTTGTCTGAAAGTGTAAGCCTTTGAGCTTCAATGCAAAACAATGAGTCAAATTGTGGTTTCTAGACCATTTCAATGTTTCGAAATGAGTACTCGTGTGATCAGGAAACACCTGCTTTTAAGCAAATAGCTCTGGATATGATTGCAGTTTTTTATGAGCTGTTTGGTTGCTATATATATATATCTATGCAGATGAAGGAAATACCCATATGGCCACCTGATATAAGCCTGTTTGTGTCATGTTTGTGCGTTCTTTATCATCTTTCTCTTTTCTGTATCTGCATCTTTGGCCGTGCATGTAAGAACGTACAGAGAAGGGTGTGTTTGTGGATTTTGTTTATGTAACACTGCATGAAGACAAGACACTCTGAATAAAGTTACTGAAGTACTTTGGAAACAATATTTGATGTATAGCAGCTGAGAAAGATGTTTTATACAGACTTATTAAACTGCAAGTGCCCTGTGTGAGTGTTTACTAAGAGCAATAGAGTGTTTAGTGCTTTTGCTTTTACAGCCATTAATTTCAAGTATTAAACTTTGCTGTTTGACTCTTCTCGCACTGTTTGTGCTTAATATCTATCCATCTATTTGTCTATCATTTTATCTATAGTGTATTCAAATTATATAATGCCTTTTCAGCCTTTTTTAAACCTTTTTTGGTTAAGCCAAGCCATTTTATTATTATTTTCGAACTTTATTCGAACTTTTATTTGTCCATCAAAAGTGACACCATTTGTCTAGTGTCTAGTGTGTTTTAACAAGGATTGGAGTATGCAAGAAAAGAAAATGAAGAATCAAAAATATGTATAGAAGATTTACCCATTTAAACTTGTTTTTAATTATTCAGTTTGGGGGAAAGTGTGGTGTATTATAAAAATAACATTATAAATAGCACATTCTGTATCGAAGTATGACTGAAATGACATGATCGGAGGTGTTTTTGTTGTTTACCATTTACATGCGAATCCCCGTGTTTAAAACTTTAACGTTTATAAATGACCAACTTCTACAAACAAATTTATAGTTGTCTTTGTAAAGAAATATGTAGCTTTGGAGCTGCTGCTGTGCAAACGCTTCCAGTGTGAATACTCTTGCGAGTCTGCAGCTGCAGTGACGGTGTAGTTACACTGACGTGAAGCTGACGCGAAACTCCAGCTTGCCGTGTGAAACAGGTGGAACAGAATCTGGATGTCAAGAATAACTCACAGCGAAACTCCCTGCAGCTGAAATGCCAACAAATGATTTAAGGTGAAATATGCCATTTCTGTGCTACTGGTGTCACTTAGTGGAATTACAAACACAAAGTATATTTTCAGATAACTTTTGTAAACCCAACCTCAACTGAAATCCCAACGCAACATATCTCCTCCTTGTAGAAACACCGCCAGTGTTTACCCTTGTTTTAAAGGTGGGGTATGTATTTTTTCAAAAACGCTTTAAAAACTGAGTCGGGCCGAGTACCAAAACAAACTTGTAGCCAATCAGCAGTAAGGGGTGTGTCTACTCATGATGCGGAGGAGAGAGCGCTCAGTGCACAGGATGGACATTAGCCGAGCCGAGCGACGACAGAAAGATAGAGATGGCAGATAAAACACAAAAGAGGAAAATGTCTGCGGAACAAACGAAGGCTTACAATAAGGCAAGAAGTAGGACCCGTGTAAATATCGGATCAGCTTTCCAGCGCTGGAGAGAACTAAAGGAGCGGAAGGCCTGCGATCGGATGCTGAGGTTGCTTTGTTTCTTCTCGATAGGTGAGTAACACCGTGTCTACACCCAGGCCGCACCGCAACAGCTAAAGTCTGTCTACACTGGACGCGACAACGTGACCGTTGAAAATCATTTGAAATTTGTGTCAATATGTCATAAATAGAACGCGGCAGCAGTTTTCTGTCGGGGATTTGTCGTGTCGCGCAGCGTCGCATCCAGTCTAGATATCATCACTGATTATAATGAGTTCTATAGTATTTTGTCACGCCACTTGCATCTGGTGTAGACACGGTGTAACATTGGTTTTGGTTTGTTTCACAGAACTAATCGTTGCCTGGGTTGCGTATGTATGTGTGGGGCGGAGCTATCAAAATAGGGGCGAGACCGTTTTGGGGTAGGGGCGTGTTTGTTTTGGTGATTTGAAATATCAACATTGGCTACCAGAAATCACTTACCCCACCTTTAAAGGATTAGTTCACTTCCAGAATAAAAATTTCCTGATAATTTACTCACCCCCATGTCATCCAGACCGAGATGTTCATGTCTTTCTTTCTTCAGTCAAGAAAGGAAGGTTTTTGAGGAAAACATTTCAGGATTTTTCTCCATATAATGGACTTCAATGGGACCCAATGGGCTGAAGGTCCAAATTGCAGTTTCAGTGCAGCTTCGAAGGGCTCTACATGATCCCAGCCGAGGAATAAGGGTCTTATCTAGTGAAACCATCGCTCATTTTCTAAAAAGAAAACAAAAAAAAAAAATTTATATACTTTTTAACCACAAATGCTCGTCGAAAATTTTATTCTGGACGTGAACTAATCGTTTAAGGCTGGAATACACTACATGTTTTTTGCCCCGATTTTCCCGATTTACAGTCGATGCTAGTTGCCAAAAGTCAGAGACAGTCTGCAGATTTGAGCTGACATATGTCATAGAAAATCGTGTGGTGTATGATGGTCACACTCTTTTTTTAGCTTAAGACTATGATTCCACCCTTTGATCTCGGAGGAGATCAAACATGTTTGATATTTTGAGCCGATTTTAGAATTGTCATGCGTTTCCTAGCAACAAGGCGCACATTTCTGCATGAGTTTGTTGTGATTGGAAGAACTTTAATGTCTGGGAGTGTGTGATTCTCAGTCGTGTAGTGTATAATGGCCAGTTTTTCCTATGTGACTGTTACAAAATGATGTCCAGTGTTTTAAAATCTGTTCAGATTTTAAAGTCGTATAGTGTATTCCAGCCTTTACCCTATTGTCTGTCTCTGCGTACTTTGGCAAGTCTTTACATTTTTCCTTGCACTTCTGTAAGCGAATCTGAATTTATTTTCCTATGTAATGCATCAACCATGTTCCCACACTATAGTAGCCACGTCCCAGTGTTCTGCTGGGAAACCTTGTATGGCATTCATGTGGAAGTTAGGCCTACTTTGACACGTACCACCTACCTAAAGATTGTTGAAGACCACATACACCTGTCATGGCAATGGTGATCTCGTCAGTGGTCTGCAGGAACACATGAAATACCTGAATTGCCTAGGGGTTTGTACAAAAAGATAGCTTAGGCACTGCCCGGGGGACGTTCGCAGAGGCCATTTAGGGGACGTCCTGGGGACCTTTTTTTGTTAGCTGGGATGTTCCTAGAGACACTGTTGGAAGCATAGCTCACAAGTTCAGATGTAAAGGAACAGTGGTTACACTACCTGGACAGGGCAGAAAAAGGAAGCTATCAACGGCTGCAACCAGGTTTCTGAGAAGGCTGAGAAATACCCTTAAATGACTGCAAAAGACCTGCAGCAAGACTTGGTGGCAACTGAGGTTTCAGTTTGCACAGTTTGTACTCAATGCCATGCCAGAAGATATACACCACTACTGACCCCAAAGCACAAGAAAAGTTGGTTCCAATATGCTTAAAATCAAATAAATATACCACAGAAGTTTTGGGATTATGTTCTGTGGAGCGACGAAACAAAACGAACTTTTCGGCCCTGTGGATCACCGGTATGTCTGGAAGAGGAAAAATGAAGCATACGCTGAAAAGAACAATCTGCCTACAGTTAAGCATGGTGGTGGCTTGGTGATGCACTGGGGCTGTTTTGCATCCTCTGGAAACCTGCAGCTTGTGGAAGGCAAGATGGATTCATTGAAGTATCAAGAAATCCTGGGAGAAAACGTCATGCCGTCTGTGAGGAAGCTGAAGCTTGGGCATCACTGGACCTTCCAACAGGACAATGATCCCAAGCATACATCAGATTCCACCAAGGCCGGTTGCAGAAAAGGTCCTGGAAGATTCTTCAGTGGCCATCACAGTCACCTGACTTGAACCCCATACAAAATCTCTGGTGGGATTTGGAGAAGGCAGTTGTTGCACGCAAACCCAAGAATATCACTGATGTAGAGGCCATTGCTCATGAGGAATGGGCTAAGATTCCTCAGGAACGCTGCCAGAAGCTGGTGTCTGGCTATGCATCTGGTTTGCTGCAGGTCATAACAGCAAAAGGGTGCTCTACTAAGTACTAAAAATGACTGCCATGAAGGGGTTAAATAATTTTAAGACTGCAGAAGTCACTAAAAGTTAAAATTTTCAGATGAATTTGGGGAAACCACGTAAAGCATTTGTTGTGTTGAACTATTTCAATTGCTTTAGTTTGATTTGTTCATTGCAAACAGCTAGCTTAAAGTCTGAAAAGTAAAAAAAAAAAGAAGAAAACCCTGATTTGCAATGGGGGTTGAATAATTTTGAGTGCAGCTGTATATATATATAGCAGCATTATGGCTGCAAGTATTGCATGGCCAAGCATAGCTTTGTTTGTATCTAAGTGGTGATGTTACCCCTAAAAACGGTCAACAGTGTTTCAAATTAAGTGAATTAGATGTGTGTATGCGGAAGAGAAACTGTATTCCTCTTTCTCTGTTGAGCGCTACAGTATGGCAAAGGAAGTTGCTGGTGTGCTCCATCTGTGTGTGCGTGTGTTCCCAAACCAAGAGAAGAGAGCTTTTGTACAGGCTGAGAAAAATGTTGACATTTGAGAATTAGAAGAGGGGGAGTCTGGCTGAAAAAAAGAGCCATTGTGCCCCTGGCATTGGTGCCCTCTGAAGAAACACACACATACACACACACTTACTTACACATTGTCAAACAGGAAGTGTGAATATCGGGTGATTGTTAACATTATAGTTGATTCTGTTCTATAAACTAGCACTAAAGATAAGAGGGGCCATGCCCTTTTTAAATGTCTCTGAAAAATGAAAATCAAAAGTGTTTTAATGTGCACTAAACACACACACACACACACACACACACATATATATATATATATATATATATATATATATATATATATATATATATATATATATATATATATATATATATATATATATATATATATATATATATATATATATATATATATATATATATATATATATATATATATATATATATATATATACAGTATATATGTAATCTAACGCCATGAGTTTAGAAAGGAAAACTTGAAATCGCATCATATGACCCCTTTAAACAGTTTTGCTGGATAATGACGACATGTGGTGCAAAACATTATTGATTTATATAGAAGCTCATTTGGATTGTAAGCACTGGTCTGATAGGTAGGTGGACTGGTTCAGTTGGAGCGAACATAAACTGCAGCCATTGAATGAAAAAGAGCTGCATGAATATTCTTTAGATATCTCCTTTTGTGTTTGACAGAAATAATAACAACACGTGGGTTTGACGCAATGAGTGAGTAAATGTCTACTAACTTCTAAACATACCGGAGGCTTTTTATAGACATTTCTATCATTTCTACAGTCATTTACTGTAAATCACCGAGTATAATACTGCAAATTCCCATTACAGTAAATAATTGTAAATCCCTTTGCATCATGGGAATTTTCTGTGATGTCAAACACCACATAGAGACTTACTGTATTTTTCTTTTTAATTCCTGTATACTACTGTATTTGCTGTAATGGCCTCTTTGGCGCCATTCCACTGAGGTTTTTTATTTTCCTCATTTCTTGCATTTGGATTGACAGGATTTGCCTTACACCCTGTCTACAACGCCGCAACAGCTTGAGACTGTCTACATTGGATGTGTTAAATCGCTTGTAATGATTGGCAAATCAGTTTGTCCTTCATGTCAGAAATAGTGCGAGTGCTTGGAGTACTACTGGGGCATCAGTTTACTGTCCGACATCCATTGTAGATTAGACAGGGGTAGCTGCAGGTCGGAGTAATGGGCGTGGCAAAAGTGCCGAAAGGTGTATGCTACAACAGAAACGAACCCCTAGCCCTAACCAATTAGAATAAAGTGACCAGATTTCTGAAATGAAAACCGGGGACATTTCCTAGTTCAGTGGTCAAAATGTCAATGAATCTCACTTGTGATTATCTACAAATTAAAAAATGGGTATATTTTGTTTTTTAATTGTTGTGGTTTCCATATATTAAATTAATAGGCCTATCATAATTAATAATTACAATGATGTTTGAGGATCAAACTTACCCTAGTTTATTAATAGGCCTACAATTCACCAAAAATCACACTATGAAAAGTGAAAAGTAAATAGTAACTATTGCAAATAGTAAACAGATCAAAATAGGATTATAACAAACTTATTTACAAAAACTAATTATAAATAAAACAATAAATATCAGATCATACCATAAACTGTATTTAACAAATATTTTTTTTACATTTTCTGACTGTATTGAACATTTTCACAAACTGTGGGTATAAAGTAGGCTACTTGCAATTTTTCAAATGATTTTGAGTGAATTAAGTTATTTTGTTTATGCTTATGGAAATGGATCTTTACTATTCCTAATCAGGCTTAGTATTTTGCATTTTAGGCTAATTTTGACCACAAAGTATGTGCTTTTTGCTAGTTCAATTGTTTAGTTTATTATCTTTTATAAGCATTTCGGAGTTGTGACGGCGAAAGTTTCAGGAATGTTTAATACTGTGTGCAAAACAATCCTGCAACCTTATTATACCTTGTCATAAAGTGCACACAAACAATATTACAATATAATTGTTTTAACATGTATAGTTAATATGTGACTACCTTGAAACCAATAACGGTGTCTCTTTTGATAATTGATTATAATAGCACTCGGCTCTCGTCCAAGTTCTTCATGGCTACAGTAGCTCGCAGCGCCCTCTGTTGGTGAAAGTAATAGTTGTTTTGAATGTGCTGTAAAACGGGGACATTTCCGGGGACAGCTCCAGTCCAGTACAGGACACCAAAAATCGGAAAACGGGGACGTCTGGTCACCCTAAATTAGAAAGACCTTTATCCACGCCGCCTACCTTTCGGCACACGCCCACCCTAATCTTTCGGCACGCCCACTGCTCCATCCTGCAGTAATCCCTACTTGTTGTAGATAGTATGACTGATTATAATGGGTTCTATATTGTCTTTTGTTGCGTCGCGTTACGTCGCTCATGTCCGAGGTAGACACGGCAACTGTGTTGCCAGTAAGTTACTGTGTTACCTTTTGAAATGTCTAACAGTGCACACTAATACTGCTTAAAGGTGGAACAAGCAAGAACATGCATGTAATCTGTCCTATTACTTCATCTGCTAAAAAGAGCTTTGTAACGGTAGCTTTGGGATGTGTTTTAAACTCAGATATATGTCCTGAGTCACACCTTAACCAACTGCATTGTGTTGCCCCACCTGTATTTCATGAGTGATGACCAAAACAAGGCCTTCAGTCAGAAGTTAAGCAGGGACTCAGGATATATGACATCATCACAAGCTCAGGCAAGCACAAACAATGGCCCGTACTCGCAGGTCGTCCTGTGAATGTAACTGTGTGATGTTTTAGATTCAGCATGTTGTTTTGGAAGGATGGTTCATGTCTGTCTGGCAGCACACTCTCAGGGCCATGAATATAAGCACATGAATATAAAATCACAGTTTTGTGGTTTCAAGAGACTGAAAACGAGCAGACTGGTTTTTAATACTTTATTGGATTGGGTAAAGTCAGGTAAGCTGTCTCATTTTATTTTAAATTGTCCTCTAGACAAGTAGAAAAGACATGGGTTAAACTAATAAATTCAGGATGCCTGCTATCAAGTTAAATAAAAATATAAAATAAAATGTTTATTATAGTACAGGTGCATCTCAATAAATTAGAATGTCGTGGAAAAGTTAATTTATTTCAGTAATTCAACTCAAATTGTGAAACTCGTGTATTCAATAAATTCAATGCACACAGACTGTAGTTGTTTAAGTCTCTGGTTCTTTTAATTGTGATGATTTTGGCTCACATTTAACAAAAACCCACCAATTCACTATCTCAACAAATTAGAATACTTCATATATATATATATTTAAAAATTTGAAGGCAGTCATAACTGGCAGTCTCTTTGTTAATAATTGAAGACAAAATTGATTCATCATATGGTCAAACACTGACCTTCGTACTATATAAAACCATGCTTAAACATGATGATTGAGGATATAAATTGTAGTTCAGCAATAGATTCTGTTTGTCCTGTTCAATATTAACACTGCGAGGCGAGAAAATGGTGATAAGAGAAAAACTGAGCTCACGGGTCAGGTGAATTATTCACTCAGCTGCTCTCTTTTTAGTTAAACTTAGTTAAACTAAACAAAAATGAGAAATGTTGAAATGAAATATATTTTGTTTCAGTTAATGTTTATTTAAGTAATTAAAACGTTTTTTTATGGTTTTAGTTACTGATAAAAACCCTGGTTCATGCCTATCTCTTTTCAGTGTTTGTAGGTTTTTTCTCCCTTCTTCAATAAATTTCCGTTCTTTTTTTTTTTCTTTTTTTTTGGAATGTAACATGTTGCGACAGTAAAACTGCTTCCTTGATTCAAAAGTTTTTGTCTTGCGTGGGAACATTTGCTTATTCATTTCCGCAACATTACATAGTGTATGAAGGCATTAAAGAGATTTCAAACGAAAATGTTGTCATCATTTACTCACCCTCATATCATTCCAAACATGTATCAGTGTCTGTCTTCTGCTGACAAAAAAAGATATTCTGAAGAATATATGTTTTTCAACAGTATTTTTTTTTTGTTGTTCAACAGAAGAAAAAACTCATACAGGTCTGAAACATCTTGAGGGTGAGTAAATGATGAGAACATTTTCATTTTTGGGTGAACTATCCCTTTGAGTAAAAATGACATGTTCATAGACACCATTAGCATGTCATCGATATGAGAAAGCTTGCAAATGTTGCAGTGAGAGCACTTTGGATTGACCCATTGCTTACCGTGTGTTTTATTGTGACTGTTAGTTCAGGTCAGATCTTTGCTCCAGGTTGTTGGAGACAGGTTTAAGAACTATCTGTGTAGTAAGGCCATAAAGTGGAAAATATGAGATAGACAAGTGCTCAACAAGAAGGTCTTGTTATCATGGTCAGTTTTTTTTTTTTTTTGCTTGCCCTGCACATTTTTGCTGACCCCACCATGAAAAGAAAATCTATATTATACTAGTTTAATATAAAATTATTGCTGCCTCTTTCATTAAAACACAGTTTTAATGGATTTTTCATATACATAACAACAGAGCCCAAACTTAAATTTAATTACTATTTATTTTTAAACATAATAATCAACACTCATCTGAAAAAAAATGTATGCAAAACATGTAAATTGCACATAATGCAGTTTTTAAATTTTAAATTAAATGCAGTTTAAATTATAAATATTTTATTTGTTGTTGAAATCATTTACACAGTGGTTCTCAACTTTTTCATAACAGATTTATTTAAACATACATTAAATAATTAAGACATCACTAACAGGTAAAGTAAAATATAATGATTATAAAGTCTAATATTTCACCAAATGCTCTTCTGCACTTCATTTCTCTGGCGCACTAACGAGCTGTGGACACTTGCCTGAAGTAAATGAAATGCTACGTGACATTTTGTTTACAAGCTGTTTTATTGCCGTCTTTCCGTGGTTGAAACACTGATCGAGTGATTACATGAGGCGTGAGATGTTCATTCATGTTTATTTCATGTTAAAACTAGTAGTAAAAGAGAAAGGAATGATCGCGCTGCTGTTTAAACTGAGGCGTTTATACAGCGATCTGTCGCGCCACATCAAAGAGCTCAAAACGGAGCTCTATATTTGAGATATGATACTTTGTTTCTTATCAAAAGCAACAATATAGCTGGAAGTTTCCAAATGAAGTTCCACTCATGCAGTGGTTAAACCAACGCTGTATTTGTTCGGTAGCTACACATGCGTACCGAACCGAAAAACCCGTACCGAAAATTCTCCATATGAATACGTGTACTGTTACACCCCTATATATATATATATATTTTTTTTTATTATACTCTTTACTTCCAAATAGGGCAATGTTGACTCAAATGTGATCCTGCCAGGCCCTTCAGATAGGAAACTTCATGAGCGTACCTTTGTACTCCATGATGATCCCACACCCTTTTTCATCCACACCAAATCCGGAGCAGTGTGCTTCAGAGAGGGGACGGATGTGGCCGCCTCCGCATCTCACCGCAGGTTACTGCAACATCACAGAGAAATCAACCCCAAAGACAAAGCAATCAATGCAGACAAGATGGTGGTTCAGTGTCCCTGCCGGCAGGGTTGGCACGGTCCTCACTGTGGCATCCCTACCAGTGTGTATCATTCCAATCTCCCATCCAAGTCAAAAGTAACACCCAGAAAAGTTCCACGTCGGGTCATCAATGCCATCAACATCAACCACGAGTTTGACCTACTACACGCTCGATTCCACGAACTTGGGGATGTTGTGGATGTGTTTTTGGTCTGTGAATCCAATTTCACCGCGTACGGTGACTCAAGACCTCTTGTCTTCCGCAAACAGATCCTAAATGGAATGTTTGACTACATAAAGCACAAAATCCTGTACGTCTTCCTGGACCATTTTCCTGATGGCGGCCATTCGGATGGCTGGATCGTGGATGATTACCTACGCACTTATTTGACCAAAAACGGAATGTCGAGGCTTGAGGGCCTCAAAGAGGATGATGTTTTCATCATCGATGATGCAGATGAAATTCCTGCTCGAGATGGAATCCTTTTCCTCAAACTCTACGATGGCTGGACGGAACCGGTCGGGATCCACATGCGCAAATCCCTATACGGATTCTACTGGAGGCAGTTTGGAACGCTAAACGTTTTATCTGCTTGCACGGCAGCTATGCTCTTTAAGGTTTACAATGGTGATGGGATTTTTCTTCGACGGCGGTCGTATTATTCCATGTCGGGATTCCGGGAATACGAGAACTCCACAGGACGCATTCTGGTACCATGGGCCATCGGAAGCCCCATTCACTACGCTGGATGGCACTGTTCTTGGTGTTTTAAACCAGAAGGAATTTATTACAAACTCATATCAGCCCAAAATGGAGACTTCCCACGTTGGGGTGATTACAGCGAGAAACGGAAGATAAGTTATATTAAAGAGTTAATACAGACAGGGGGTTGGTTTGATGGGTCTATACCAGACTATCCACCTTCAGACCCCAAAGAGCATATGTTTGCTCCCAAATACCTGCTGGACAACAATAAAAAATATCGCTACCTGCTGGAGAACCCATACGCAAAAGAGAAACATTAAGAGAAACGGGTCTGTTTCAAATGGGCAGCTTAAAGGTGCACTAAGATATTTTTGCCAAACAATGTTGATATTTGAAAGCACCAAAACAAACACACCCATACCCCAACAGGACCACGCCCCTATTTTGATAACTCTGCCCCACACATACGTACACAACACTGGCACCGACGATGGCGGAATCTGCTATGCCTGCCGACATATTCAAGCAAAAAGCCAACACAGAAAAGTTGTGTGAAAAAGCAAAATCAACATAACTCACCTATTAAGAAGAAACAAAGTAATCTTGGCGTCTGATTCCCTTCCGCTCCTTGAGTTTCTCCACTGCTGGAAAGCTGCTCCAATATTTACGCGGTCCTACGTCTTGCCTGATCGTAACCCTTCATTTTAATGTTTTGTTCCTCTGAAATATATCCCCCCCCCTTTTTTTTTTATCTGCCATCTCTCGCTATCTATAGTCGATCTGCTAATATCCGTCCTGTGCACTCACTGAGCGCTCTGTTCTCCCTATCATTACTAGACACGCCCCTTACTGCTGATTGGCTGCGAGTTTGTTTTGGGACTCGGTCCTACACAGTGGTCAAAAGCGTTTTTCAAAAATCGCTTAGTGCACCTTTAAGTTTAAGCGAGAAGTGAAACTGAATGATAAGGTGTTTCACAGCCTTTTGTGGTTCATGATTGAATTTCCAAGTTCCACAATTCTTACGACTTCACAACACATCACAGGCACATCATAATAACAACCACTAAGAACACCAACATATCTTACTATTTAATCAGAATTATTTCTTTAGACTCTCTAACAAGAATGATACCAAGTGATTTAGCCACTTCATGGCTATAAAATTATGCTTTTATGGTTTAAAAACAATTACAATTAATGAGAATATTCTCCATACACCCTGTCAGGTGACACCAAGGTTAACTCCAAGGTTAACTCATATTTCATTACTATGAAAAGATCTCCAAACGTAATAGTAATGTATAAAAATAATTGCAATAAATAGCATTTAAATGGACTTGATGATTTGATATGACGTTTATTTATATAAATGTTTACTCCGTGTGAATGATGAGCACTTAATTGGCTTAAACCCCCATGTCCAGTAATGGTTTCTGTATTCATAAAGGAGATCTGCACAGAGTATGACAGTCATATCGGGACTAAATGGATTATTTTCATTGATGTTTTGATATAAAATCTGATATTTGCTGGTGCAGCTGAAAGATCTGGTCTGTGTGGATAGATTACTGTTTAAATCAAAAATGCATCACGTAATGGTAACGCTATCTTACTGTATATATATATTTTATTATTATTTTTTTTTATGGGTTTTGTTAACAGGATTTTATGAATTTTCATCTACACTGGAAAAAAAATATTTAAAATTTGTTAGCTTTATGCTTAAAACAAGTAAAAACAAACTAAAATATATATTGTGAAAACACGTGTTATTTTACAACAATTTGCAATAAAATGGTCTTGTTGTGTACGGGTGTTTATATAGTTTATACAAGATGATAAAACAAAACAAAAAATCTAAATCAGTAGTGTTAATATTTTAATGCTTTTTACACTGCAAAGGACAATGGTACTGCAACTGTAATGCCAGTTTCACTTTTTCATAGTCCACTGATGGCCTGTCACATCCTGTAAAGGTTTAAGATTTTGCTGATGACTTGTGTTTCAAAGCTTTCATAGGGTCGGTCACGCTCTGTGTGCTTGGATATGGATACATTAAGCATTAGCCATCAACACCCCATTATGTGGGTCTTGTAAATTGTGCTTTGAAACCGGATAACCTGTCAGGAACCAAGTTTGCAAGAGCCTGACCATGTGCCAGCAAAGTTAGCAGCAACAGGAAAGAAATTATAAGTCAAAGTCAAATATGGGAAGTTTTAGAAAGTAGGGAAGTCAAACCTTGAAGTTTATAATTAAAGGGACAGTTCACCCAAAAATGAAATTTGTCATCATTTACTCAGCCTCATGTCATTCTAAACCTGTATGATTTTCAAAGTATGAACAGAAAACACAACAGAACGTCATTTGGTTACCAAATGATGATAAAGGTTAACCAAATGAGGTGTTACTCCTATTTCACTAGTAAAAGATCACCGTACTGTTCATAATCATACACTCTAAAAAATGCTGGGTTGTTTCAACCCAATGTTGGGTCAAATATGGACTAACCCAACTGTTGGGTTAAAAAGTTAATTTAAAAATGTAACCAAAATTTAGCTCAACAGTTGGGTTAGTCAATATTTGACCCAACATTGGGTTGAAACAACCCAGCATTTTTTAGAGTGTAGTAATGTATGAAAGCAATCGAAACAAATAGCACTTAAATTGACTCAATCATTTGATTTGAAGTTTATTCATATGAATATTTACTTCATATGAATGCTGTGCACTAAACTGGCTGTAGTACATTTGTGCTTAGTTTTGTTATTTGACTCTGAAACATGATGTACAGCACATATGGATGCTTTCAGTGGTTTAAAGGAATAGTTCACCCAAACATGAAATATGCTGTAAATGTACACACCCCGATGCCATCCAAGATGAAGATGAGATTTTTCTTCATCTGAACAGTTTTGGAGAAATGTAGCGTTACATCACTTGCTCACCAATGGATCCTCTGCAGTGAATGGGTGCCGTCAGAATGAGAGTCCAAACAGCTGATAAAAACATCACATTAATCCACAAGTAATCCACACGACTCCAGTCCATCAATTAACATCTTGTGAAATTAAAAGCTCCATGTTTATGATAAACAAATCCATCACTAAGACATTTTTAACTTCAAACCGCTGCTTCGAGCCAAAATATGAGTAAATTTTTTGGCCAGATAATGTTTCCTCCAGTGAAAAAGTCCATTCCCTGTTGTCCTCACATCAAAATCCATTGACATGGATATGTTTAGAACTGTTTAGGCTTGTAAGTGGTGCTTGATCTGTGCATATTTCTCTCCTGATTCAGACGAGATGACTGTTCAGTGTTCACTATAGAAAGCAATAGATAGAGGACTTGTAGTATTTTGGCCAGAAGTTAAAAATGCCTTAATTTTGTTTTTTCTTTTTTCTTCATCTTCTTCTTTATTTTTAACGGCTGTTGGCATCCAGTTTATCGGTGCTTTTTTTCTTGCAAACATGCAGCTTTCACTTCACAGGATGTTAATTGATGGACTGGAGTGGTATCAGCTGTTTGGACTCTCATTCTGCCGGCACCCATTCACTGCAGAGGATCCATATAGTGAGCAAGTGATGTAATGCTACATTTCTCCAAATCTGTTCCAATTTAGAAACAAACTCATCTAGGATGACCCGAGGGTCAGAAGATTTACAGCAAATTTTCATTGTTTGGCTGAACGATATCTTTAACTGATGTTTCTTATTTACATAAAGTTACATAATGTGTATATGACAGTAGACGAACATGCATATCAGCATGGAAAGAGATATTCTGAAAGATGGTTACACTTTTTTCTGAATGTTTTGTGATGTTCATCACCATACTTGTGTGACATTTTGTGAAACATCCCCTTTTATTCTAAATATGATGATAGAACTGTCATTTGTGGGTTAACTCTTCCTTTTACAATATGTTTACATGAGACGTGAAAAATATGGCCAACATGTTAAACTATTGTAATTCCTTTAGAGAAATTAGAAGCCATAATCTGTACAGTAGAATAATGATCAGTAGGTTAAATGGTTGTTTTACTGTCCAACACATCAAATAGGGCAGTTTTTCAGATATTCATCAGTCAAATGTTAGCACACTGGATGTTGCGCAACTGCAGTCACTGTTTTTTCGTTGTTTGATGATTGCTGTGCAATTATTGATATTTCAGAGTGTGTTTTATAAATGAATGTGAATGAATTGTATTTTTCATATGTTTGGGGTTGAACAGTTGTAATAATGTGGATAATGGTACTCAATGTTGATTACTCTTGTATGTGTCAAATATTTTTCGGAGAAATTTATAGTTGCTTTTACAAATGATTCACGTAGGAAGTAATTTTTGTATGAATTTGTATTTATTGGGAGAAATAAAATCAAGATTTTTCTCGTTTGTAAGTCATCTTTTCTAAATAAAAGACCACTATGATTATTTCATCTGCATTGTGATTATAATGAAATGCATTTCCCTCTCACCACTAGAGGGTGATAGAACACAAGCGTTTCTCTTTATTTATTCAATAAAAACTAGCTATGGCTATCACATTGAACCAAGTTTAAAGGAATACATAACTCGAAAATAAAAATGTGGTCTGTACTTAACCCATATTATGGGTGAAACACAAAATGCTAGGCAGAATGTTTTAATTTTTAAAGTGCATGCTGATTTGTACTGGTAAGAACAAAAAAAGTAATCAATACAGATCCTCCACGGAGTCTTCCAAAATCTTTTTGAACCTTGTTATGTTTTATGGATGAAAAAAAAAAAGTTTGGAATGTGTTGAGGTTGAAAAAAACAACATAATTTTATTCATAATTTTCATTTATAAGAGGAAAGTTGCAAGAACATTTTGATTCCGTTAGTCAATTATTCAAAATGACATCAGTGAAATTAAACCTTTATTGTGGCATATAAAATAATGAAAGAAAAATTGTAGATATCCACACAGTACATTAATATTAAGCACCATTGAGTTAAAAACCAAAACCTTTTAAAATGAATGTCAAGTATGTAACATATAGCACCTGATGTGTTCAACTTACAAATCATTTTTAGCACCTGATTCCTTGGTAACAATGCAATCAGATTTTTTTTTGTTTTTGTCCTCAGCACCATTTCTTTACTTGTTAATATTGTAGAATCTCTACATTCCTGAGATCCAGATTCTGCAGTCCAGACTGAAGTGGTTTTAAGATAAAAAAAACTGCCAGCTTTTATTGAAGAGTCTTTTAAGTCACTGATTGGGGCAGAGATCGGTGCCTCGTGGTTTCAGAACATTTAATCTCACTCTCCCTGTCTATATTTCTATCATGTGAGTCTCTCTCAAGTGGATTCTTACTACTGAAAAAGGAAAGCCACATACATCCTGTTTAACAGCAACAGAGCCAGGCACAACCACATATACACTCAAAGCAGATCTTCTCAGGACCTGGCCCATTTAAAACCAACAAATGGCTGATTTTTATTACATTTTCTTAAACCAGATTAAAAGAATTAACATTTAAAAGTCTGAGGTCAATAGGATTTTTTAAGGAAATTAATACTTTTATTCCGCAAGGCTGCTTTAAAATGATCGAAAGTGACACTAAAGGCAGCACAGGTGTTTTCAACATTGATTATAATAAGAAATGTTTCTTTAGCATCAATACGCATATTAGAATGATTTCGGAAGGATCATGTGACACTGAAGACTGGAGTTTTAAATTACATTTTAAAATAGAAAACAGTTATTTAAAATTGTAATAATATTTCACAATATTACGGTTTTACTATACTTTTGATGAAATAAATGCAGCCTTGGTGAGCACAATAGACTTCTTTCAAACACATTTTAAAAATCGTACTGACCTCAACCTTTTGAATGGTAGTTTATACTAGACCCCCCCCCCCCCAAAACCCCTGAGCAGATGTTTTCAATTCTGATGCAGATCAGACTTCTGATGTTCTCCCTGCAGACAATAAATGGCTATAAAAAATAGACCTATACATCTAGAGACCGTATTATCATCAGAGACGTGGGCTTATTTAACTTGGGCTAGTAAGCAATGGCCTAGCAACCACATGTTTGCTATGACTCCAGTGGCCTGTTGATGTTTGAAGGGACCAGCAGCAGGTTTAAGTACTCAGTCACGCCATGTAAACATCCTATCACAACTAACATAAACCAGCTACCATTTCCCAGATGCTGCTGATGGATTTGGAAAAGACCCTGCCTAAACACAGACCTAAATATCTGGGGCTGGGCTACATCAGTGGTTCTCAACTGGTTTCACTTAAGATCTGGAGGTCAGAACTGTTTATCGTCCAACAGTAAGCAGAAAGGTCCCTGAAGTCAAACATTTTTGTTAATATCACCATGAAATTGGTCAGCACCCAACCCCATATCTGCTGTAAGTTGTAGACGCATTTTATTTCGCTTTCCATACAGTTGTTCAATTGTTTTTTGAAGATTATATCACCTCACACAACCTGACCATGTTGGCATCTGCCTAATTTGACTAGCTTCCACATGACATAAAATTACACCAAACTACTGTACAGTATGCATAGACACTACATAGTTTGGACGCATAGATTTTGATGCCAACCACAAAAGATATAGGAAGTATTTTCTCCTCCTTTTGTATATTTACAGCAACAAACCAACAAAACAGACCTGCAGCTCATTTTTGGATCATGATCCATCAGATAAGAACCACTGGAGTTCATTTTGGATGCTAAGTTGCGGTCATATTTACCTTTGCTCTGAGACATTTTACGTTGCCCACTCACATTTCAGACGTTCTATTAATGTTACAGAACTTTGAAAGAATCTTGCCAAAACATTAGCCAAAGTTCTGAGAACGTTCCCTGTAATGCCTGGTATGCACTGCACAATTTTAGGCGGTCCCAGATGAAAGATGCCCAACGGGAAACAGTCGTGGTGATTTCTTTGGTCATGGCTCATACTTTGTACTGTGAGAGAGATTCAAAGATGGCTGTTTTCACGGTCTTGCGACCAAAGATAGTGTCAGACCATCTCACAGTGTGTTTGCTGCTACGACTTATGTCTACTGACTAGCCAATAAAAATTCAACATGAAATGACGTATTGATCAACGCAACATGGCGCTAAAGTTTAAATACCATGGAGGCAAAAAGAAGGAATACTGGTACGTGGAAACCACAATTGCCAAAGTGCGATTTATCTTGACTTTTATCTTAACTTGCGTCATAGCCTACGATTCAATAGGTGTCATCATTGTACAGTCTACATATAGGCCTATGTCGTACCCAAGATTATTAAACCAATATGACACAGTGTAATGATCTTATCAGATTGCTGAAATCGCACAGTCTACAGACTTAGACTACAGGCCTTAGCTGGGAAACTTTTTTGCCCACAAAATGTCTCTAATGTGAAATAATGAAATGTGACCGCAATTTCCCGGTTCTCTTCATACGAGACCCCACACCGAAGTAGAAAAAGCAGACTTCTCTGCATTAGGAATTTTTTTTTTGGACTGCAGAAATCTAATATGAAATGTTTGGATGCTTTTCAGTTTTGTTAAAGCTGCTCCACTAATCATGCCCCGTCTCCGTTTCTGGTCTCACTCAGTTTCTGCTTTGATGAGGTATCCGTTAAAGGTGATGTAAATGTCCACATCATCGCTGTAGATGGCGTTCTCACGCTCACGTTTGTAGAGACGGACCCAGACCTCGTCGTCCTCCTGCAGAGGCAGCATGACGCTCTGGCTCTGCATGATGGAGCGGTCGCTGGGCTGAGCGTAAACGATGGCCCTCTCGCTGTCGTTCTGCATGATGTGCAGATATGTCTCCTTGAAGTTCCACGTGTGGATGTTCACATTGAAGAAGTAGATTCCTGGGATTTGGCAGCGGTATTTCCCGGCAAACATGTCAAAGTGTTCGGGGGAGTTCACGAAGATAGTGTCAAAGATTAGGGCCTGGTAGTTGTCAATGCTGTGAAGGGACTTCCGTCGGCCCACTGAGAAAGCAGAATGCTGGGACTTGCAGGCGTCACCTGGAGCTCCGGCTTGTCCCTTATCTCCTTTGGGGCCTTCAGACCCCCGTGGTCCCGGTGAACCCTCAATCCCAGGCTTCCCAGGTGTCCCTCTTTCTCCACGGTCACCTTTGTCACCTTGAAAACAGACAACAAGGTGTGAGATTAAACGAAAATGGCAGAAAGATGCAGAAGGAAAAAGCACTAGAAGCAATAAGTAAACTGATTATTCAGGTAGATATTATAAAGAGTTCTGCAGTGTAACTAACTCGAACCCTAGAAAGCCTACTGATACACAAGCTTCTAAGGCCTCTAAATGATCAACATTATTAAAAGTTTGCTGAAAACCCTGTTGTTCACAATCTAATAAATGCCTTCTGTCATCGGATTGATATTTTTTAACAAATAAAAAAAATCTATTAGTATAATTATAGATTGTGGTACACATTTTTTAAAATTGATTTTTATAAAGTAAATGTAAGTAAATGTAAATGTAAGATTCATTTTTATTTTTTTTTTGTAATATTTCAAGATGAACACTCACTGGACTGAATCAACATAGGACTGTCCATAGATCATTTTTTAGAAAAATCATGTTAAAATGTGATTATCAATCTATCAATATATCAGGCTTTTCCCTCAATGTTTTTCCCCCACAATAAAAACTACAGAGCTTTGATGATAAAACTGAGCATTTAAATAGCATCCTAATAAGACATGTTATTGGGAGATATAGAGTGACAACTGATATTTATATGCATTTTATGTAAGTAGTCTGGTATACTGTTATAAATCTCGTTGATTTATATGAAAGCTATCAGAATTCCATCTTTATGGCTGATAAAATATCAGATGCTGCACCAAATTGAATATTTTTGCTTAGTTTGGGCCTCTAAATAAAATTTGAGTATGAGCTCCATATTCTTCTGTATCATACTATATGAACCATAAAAGCTTGGTGTATGAAAGACTCGTGCATTTTCAGTATTGTAAATCCTTACTGAAAAGCCACTAGCACAAATTCTGGCAGACTAAAATAACTTCCCAGAACCTCAAATCACAGCTTCTAAAATGACAAAAGACATTCTCAGACACTTATCTCAGGTTCAGTTTTTTCTGTCTTTTGTCATCATATAATTTTGCCACTAATTGTGACTTCAGCTCAAAGTTTCCAAAGAACACATTTCCTGCAGGCTTCATTCCCGTTTATGCAACAAACACATGCGCATATGTGCATGCACAGACACATAAAAACAACTCTTATGCGGTTCCCGCCACATCAGCACCTTTCCTGCCAGGTTTGTCACTTCCTGTCCACCAAGCTCCAGTGGAGCAGATATTTCTGAGCCAAGAGTGGTTAACTGAGGCTCACAGAAGGGAAGAGAGCAGCTGAAAACACATCTTCACATCATTCAGCCCAATGAATACCTTGTTTTCCAGCTGAATTACATTTTGGGGTTCAGAACCAATATCCCACAGCACTTGTGCCAGACAAGCAATAGATTGGGAAACTGGGAAAACTAAAATCCAACAAGGAACATTGGGGTCAAAATTTGGCTACAATGACGTTCAATATTCACTAAAGTTTGTGCTGATGTTATTTGACTCTGAAACATCATGTACAGCACATATGGATGCTTTCAGTGGTTTAAAGGAATAGTTCACCCAAACATGAAAATATGCTGTAAATTTACACACCCCGAGGCCGTCCAAGATGAAGATGAGATTTTTTCTTCATCTAAACAGATTTGGAGAAATGTAGCATTACATCACTTGCTCACCAATGGATCCTCTGCAGTGAATGGGTGCCGTCAGAATGAGAGTCCAAACAGCTGATAAAAACATCTCAATAATCCACTAGTAATCCACACAACTCCAGTCCATCAATTAACATCTTGTGAAAAGCTGCATATTTGTAAGAAACAAATCCACCATTACACATTTCATTACACCAAATACACACAATAATGTTCTTTTTAGCAGCATCATATGACCCCTTTAACTTTGATCTGTCACTTCTGCTCAAAATATGAGTCAATAATCCATAATAATGCTTCCTTCAGTGTATCATAATCCACCAAAATATCTGTTTTGGACTGTTTTTGTTTGCAAACAGTAGGCTACTTGATCTGTGCATATTTCTCTCCTGATTCAGGTGAGACTTTTTCACTGGAGAAAGCAATATTATGGATAGAGGACTGGAAGGAAGTTTCTTACGAACACGCAGCTTTTCGTTTCACAAAGACGTTAATTGATGGACTGGAGTTGTGTGGATTACTGTGTCAATTATTTTGTGATGTTTTTATCAGCTGTTTGGAATCTCATTCTGATGGCACCCATTCACAGCAGAGGAGCCGCTGGTGAGCGAAGAAACAAGCTCATCTACATCTTGGATGGCCTGAATCAAATTTTCACTTTTGGTTAGGCCAAAAATGGCTGATTTTGCAATAAACCGTTTTACAGGGTTTGCTCCCAAAGAATGGAGATCGACAGAAGTAGCAGCTGTGCTCGTGTAGCTTTTAGTAGTAAATCTGTATTTGTCCCTTCACAGGGCAATTTATACAGCATCAACCTCACAAACAGACAAAAGTTTATAAGACAACTATAACTATTAACTACACAACTTTTTTTTGTCATGTAAGCTGAAGCACTTGACGGCTTTCGTGTACCTTTGAGAATGGTCATGTTGATGTATGTGCGGACCTCAGGCATCGCAGGCATGCTTTCTCTGAGGGTTGCAGCTTCATCTAGTGCTGGGAGGTGGTCACAGCATCGACGGCAGGCCGGTTGAGGTACAGAGACAACCAGATGTAGAAACAGACAGGCAAGCAGGAGGGACCCAAACATTGTGCGATCTGAGTCAAAAGAATAAATATGCACTCATAAGAGTAATTGCTTTAATTTCATGTGTATTTCAGTCACTCCCTATAATAACTTTCCACACACTGTTATTCTTTCACTAATACGAGATTGTGGAAGCATCCGTTTATTTATTAGTGGGATCATTAATGTAGACTAGACAGAAAATAGAAAGAGAGGGGCTTCTGGGTAATGCTGAGAGTGGAATGCAGCCTGACAAATGTAGGCCCCTTCAAGACACAGATTAATGTTTCTGTTGGACCGAGTCCAACCTGCACATGACTACAGCTAAACTAACACAGTTCAGTCTGTCTGTCTCTCTACTCGACAGAATCCAGCTCGTATCTTCCAGAGTTAATCTGATAACTCTCATGAGATATCTTTAAAACACTTCCAAATTCAGATCCGCTGCTGAGGTTTAATCTTGATGTTTATTTCTCATGTCCCAGCTAAATGTACAGATACTATTAGTAATCATAGGTTGATTCCCCCCAAAAGTGTAAACAAGCAGGCTGCGCTCCATTTCCATGGATCATTTCAGATGGAGACCACTGTGCAATTATTTCAATTAATTTTTGCCATGCTGCAGTTTTTCCATACTGCTATCTATTTCAGATAAACTGTCCCAAAGCAGCACATAAAAGAAGAAAACCTAGCTGGATGCTTTACATGTAGGGCAAACTGACTTCCTGTCAGCAAGTTAGCAGTTCTTGGCCAAAAAAAGCTGTAAGTAGACCTTAAATCATGGCTTAAATCAGTGGATATAAAGCATCATATAATCAAAGCCTAAACATATCATTCCTGTCCTTGTGAACTTTTTTATTAATCGAAGAACGCTGAAACAAATCTACAGTTTCCACAAAAACATTAAGCAGCACAACTGTTTTCAACAGTGATAATAATAAGAAATGTGTCTTGAGCAGCAAAGCAGCATATCAGAATGATTTCTGAAGGATCATGTGGCACTGAAGACTGGAGTTATGATGCTGAAAATTCAGCTTTCAATTTTTCCATCAAAAATTCAATTATGCCATCACAGGAATAAATTACATTTTAACATATTCTAAAATAGAAAGCAGTTATTTTAAATTGTAGTAATGTAATAGAACACTTATTACTGTAGAAATCTTTTTAAAAATCTTACCATATGTATGTTTGAAACAGAAGCTCAAATCCACTTTTAAATGCATGTGATCATGTTCACCAAGCCATAAAGCCAAATAAAACTGAGAAGCAGAAGCACATGGTGAGCATGTCAGCACCACATCTGAGTTCTTGAGTGATCAGACCAATGAGAGCTTTTGGCAGCTTTGTTTTCAATTAAGAGGACCTGTAATGCAAACTTAGACATTTCTTTGTGCTGAAATTTAGTTTGAGCTAGAGGATTTTTATGATCTGCAGGTATCTGTATTACATCAGACTATAACAAGCTGCTGGGTCTGACATGTCGAGACCCATAAGAAAAGTGAAGCTTTTGATAATAGCATAAAAAGTAATGTCTGAAGGGGTTAGTCATAAAACTTCCAGTACTGGCAATTTCCACTGCAAAAGTGCAAGTGACAGACATAGACATGTTTTGAATAATGATGAAATAAAGCATGACTCAAATTCACAACAAAAATCACATTCTAATCCAAGGGTTTTCAACAGAGGATCCACAACCACCAATTATTAATTAGTTGATTAATTAATTCATTAATTAGTAAAAATTAAGGCATATGAAATTAACGCATTTTAAATACAATAAGCTAAAATTTCGGCTAAATGTTTTAATTCAGTACAAATGTATCAAGCAAAATTAAAATATGATGTACAAGTATGTGAATCTATACATTGATAATGATTATTTTAATGGATGCCAGGTAGGCATTATAATAAAGAATGCAACTGCATGAATGTGGTACTACAGTTTTTTTTAAACCAGGCTTAAAATGCAATGACCATTTTAGTACAGCTTGAAAACGTTTGAAAACCCCGGTTCTAACTTTTAATTTTCAGTGTAACAATCAAAATCAGCTATAGATTTTAATAACCTGCAGCAACTAAATTGAATCCTTTACTAAAACATGCTAAAACAAAATAACCGCATGAAGTCTGTCTTCCTATATTACTGTAGTGTAAAAGATGCAGTGCAGGTGTGTGGGATACATCAGCAGCGGATCTCAGCCGTGGCAGAGCAAGAACGCTTTTGCACATGCTGTTCAGCTGCTAGCAAGATGTTAACTAGCTTGCAAAAAAAAAAAAAAACTTTGAGCACTGTAACTTACTCTTAATGATCATCTTAATGAGGCTGCCCATTTTGGTTACAAAAGTGCCATTAAACTAATTTTACTTTATAAAAAGCCTAAATGAACTATAAAGCACAATATATCTGATCTTTCAGGTGTGATTGTAAGTGCATGTGTGTGTTTGTGTGTGTGTGTGTGTGTGTGTGTAAGCAAAACTTACAGTACTTGTTGCGTTTGCAGCTGCAGTTGGGTCAGCGAGCTGAGAAGAGAAATAAAGAAAAGGAAAAATCCTTGGTCAGCTTATTTCTCCCTCCCTCTTTCTCTCTCCCTCCCTTTCTCATTCACCCTCAATGCCTTTCTTCCATTCCATTCCTGAATATACACACAATGAGCCTGCCAGCTCAGACAGACTTATTTTACTCGTTTTCTAAAATAAAATGACAGTCAAAACTGTTTCAAAGAAGGGAAACCTTATGTCCAAACAAGCTGTTTTCAGAAAGAGAACTTTATGTCTGTTTCTTTCAAAAGTTTCCCTGCTCTACATTAGAACTGAGGGAACAATGTGAAAACCCACAATGTTTGTGAACATAAACATTTATAAGCACACACAAACAGAAACTCAGTATGTCCTGTTGCACGCATGTTAGCAGGATGCGGCTTGTTACATGAAAAACAGATTTTTTCCATCTTTGGAGACCCGTGTTCATCTCCCACAAAGGGATTTCAGGAAAAATGTCTGCACAACTTACTAATAATAGTAATTTCAACATGCACATTTGTTGGGAGTTTCCATTGATTTTTATTGGTTTTATACTGAGCTAACCCTAAACCAAACCCATGAATCTTTTTGCATTTTTACATTTTCATTAAAACCTTATTTAGTGTTATTAAGCAGTTTTTTTCTCATTCAATCCAGTTTAGACCAAATTTGACCTACACACACATTTACTTATCTAAGTAGGGTCCCTCAATAGGCGGCCCTCTGGCAACATACGGCCCGAGAGAGAAAAAAGTTTGGCCCTGTCTTGGATGCGGCGCGACACGACAAATCCCCGACAGTAAACTGCTGACTCGTTGTATTTATAACGTACAACGTTCAAATGGCTTGCAATGCTTTATCGCGTCCAGTGTAGATACGATGTGACAGCAAAAACATGGCTAGTGTGTAGAAAAGAAAAGTGGACAGGAAAATAGATGATTCAAATGTGAATGGACTGAACAGTTTTGAGTGAGTGAGTGAGTGAGTGACTGATATCTTTGTTATGTAATACACTGTTGTTTCGCAGTGAGTTCAAAGTCTTAAAGTACAAGTTTGCTTAAATTTATTTTCAAGTAAAATATCTATTGTTGCTTTCACTATGGCTATAAAGATAACGCAAAATAATATCCAAACTCACATTAGACACTTTTAACATTGAATAAAGCACGTAATTCACAAACTGGTCCAGCTGGGGCTCAACACTTCGCTGTGCAACTGGCTGTTGGACTTTCTGACTGGAAGACCTCAGGCAGTTCGGGTCGGCAGCAACACATCCAGCATCATCACACTGAACACTGGGGCCCCCCAAGGATGTGTGCTGAGCCCCCTCCTCTTCACTCTGCTGACCCACGACTGCACACCGTCACACAGCTCCAACCTCTTCATTAAGTTTGCGGATGACACGACTGTAGTGGATGTGCTGTACATGTGGAAGAATTGACAATAAAGCAGACTTGACTTGACTTGACTTGTAATCATTCCCTGAGATTATCACTGTCATATTCTGTATGTTGTTCCTGCCGCGACGTCGCAGAAAATAAAAACCGTTCCTAAAATAGAATCCCATGTCGCTTATTGTCACGTGTCGCTGTCGCGAGGGGTTAGGACAAATGAGCAGGAACAGTTGATTTGCATGGCAGACATGGAGATCCAGATTTTTTGTTTGTTCATTTGTTTTTAATATTCAACAGGCAAAGTTCTTCTAAATCTAAATGCAAAAATGTTCATAATTGTTTGAATAAAACAGACTACTGGGGAAAAAATCTGAATATTCATCTTGTGA